CATGCCCGGCTAATTTTTTCTATTTTTAGTACAGACGGGGTCTCACTCTTGCTCAGGCTGGTCTTGAACTCCTGACCTTGAGCCATCCTCCCGCCTCGGCCTCCCAGAGTGCTAGGATTACAGGCATGAGCCACCGCACCCGGCCCAAATCGGCGATTTTAAAAAACAAAAACTGGTCCTTTACCACAGAGCTTTCAAAGCTCCATTCCAGAACAGTCCCGAGGTTCAGTCTTCCCACATGACCAGGTTGAAGGGCCAGCTGCACTGTGGCCACCGCTGCTTCAAAACACAGACCCGAAATCTTTCAGGGGCTTCCCCTGAGCTTCCAGGATGAACTCCTGGCCCTGGGGCAAGCCAGCCCTCCCCTCTCTGCGTCCTCACTCTGGACACTCGAAGAATCCCTCCTATTCTGGGCTGCAGCCACCACCAGCTTGGGTGCCCCCTCCCTCCAAGGGCTCTTTACTCTGCATGGAACACTGTTCTCCCCTCATTTCCACCTGACACCAGCCAAGATATCAGCACCCAAAGAAAGCACTTCCTGGCCCCAATCTTCCCTTGCTGTAATCACCTTCTCCTTTCGCTATTATGGCACCGACTCCCAAGTGGCCCCCGATTTCTGACCCTCCAGGGTGGGAAAGGTGGGCGTGGGGTGCCCTCACAGGGAAGGCAGCCCTCGGCTCTGTCACTCAAGCCAAGGCACTGTCTGGGGCTTCTTCCTCCCCTGCCCCGTTATGGCACTATGTCATCGACACCCACCTGGTGCCTGAGTTCAAGGATTCTACCCCTTAACCTCACCTTCCCCCACGTCCATCTCCTCTGACTCAATCCCTGACTTAATCAGCCCCACCATCTCTCACCAGACCAACTGCCCCATTCATGCCCCCCTGCTGGCCTCACTGCTCCCCAGGCTGGTTCCTCCAGCCTGTCCTCCATGCTGGCCACACAAACCCTCTTGTGGCTGCCCACTGCCTTTAACAGTGGTTTTAAACTTGGCATGCTGGGACTAAGGAAGGATTGCTCTAACGACACTTAAGCTGACCCCTTCCCCCAATCTCCAACCTAAACAGGCATCAGAAAAACCCCTGAGCTGAGGGAGAAAAACCAGACTTTCCCCTTTCCCCTAGCATTTGAAACTCTGGATTCAAACCTTCCTCTATACACGTATGTTCCTTTTTTTTTTTTTGGATACAGGGTTTCATTCTGTTGCCTGGGCTAGAGTGTAGTGGCATCATCATAGCTCATCGCAACCTCAAACTCCTGGGCTCAAGTGATCGAGTAGCTGGGACTACAGGTGCACACCACCACGCCTGCCTGGATAATTTTTTTATTTTTTGTAGAGACGGGGTCTCGCCATTGCCCAGACTGGTCTCAAACTCCTGGCCTCAAGTGATCCTCCTGTCTCAGTCTCCCAGAGTGCTAGGATTATAGGCGTGAGCCACGGCGCCCAGCCTCACTCCTCCTTAGGCAACCTGTGGGTCCCCTGCTCCCATACTGATATGGACCTTAGTGAGGACTCAAGTGATCCTCCCCCATCAGCCTCCTGTGCAGTGGGGACTACAGGTTTGAATCACTGCACCCAGCAATACACATACATTCTATGTTCCAGCCATGCTGGGCCTCCCATGGTCATTCTCACAGATCCCTAAACACGATGCTTGTTCAAGTTCCTGCACCTTTGCATCATCCTATGGTCAGCCTTACAAACTTTTTATTGAACACCTACTATGTGCTATGTATTGACCCAAACAAAGTCTGTTTGGCGTCAGGAAGCAACCATCTCTTAATGTCCATCTGACACATTCATTCAAACTACGTATCTAGAGGCTGGGGATTTGCTACTGAACGTGACAGATGTGGAACCTGCCCTCAAGAACTTTACCACCTGGTGATTATTCATCCATTATTCAAAGGCCAGCTGTGCATCGGTCAGAACCCGCATCTTAAACTCAGAGCAGGGCCGGAATCTCGAGGCTCAACTGAGTGAACAAGGATAAACAATTGCCTGGAAATAAAACCCAGCGGAACAATTCTTTTTCCATCTGGACCACAGCCATCTGAAATGCACAAAAACCTCGCAGGACCCACAGAGAGCCCATGGGGGCCGGACAGTGCCTGCCCCGAGGGCTCCAGTCCCGCCTCTATCACTTCCTCCCTGGAAAACACTGAAACAGTCACTATAGTTCTACTGATCTCAGTCCTCACGTCTGCGAAACAAAAGAGGACTCCCAGATCCGGGGCCCAGAGGGACTCGTAACCTCACTCTCCATTACACAAAGACCCGGCAGCCACATGGTGCAGGGCCCTGGGAACAGGGGAAGGGATCCTGAAGGCCGCGCTGCCCCACTTCACGGAGAGAAAGTATGCGATCCAAAAGAAAGCGGTTTATGGCACAGCCCGGACTGGAATCCGAGAAAGGAATCGCTCTAGGGGGCGGCCTGAGAGCTGGAGGGGACTCACGCTGCTGCTGCTCCAGCGCCAGCTTGCACTTGTAGTAACTGTAGAACTCTCCTCCGAACAGAAACGAGAATTTCGGGTTGTCCTTCTGCTTCTCCATTGTCATCTTCTCAAACTCGGGCCCGTTGCGAGCCACGAACTGAGCCAGCTTGTCGATGACATTTCGAAGCTCCTGGTCTGGAGAACGGAGAAAAGACCACGCGAGGCGTCAGCGAGGATAGCCCAAACCCGGGGGCCCTGGCGCCCCGGCCCCCGTCCGCCCTGCTGGGAACCCTAAGGGTGGACCTTGAAGAGGCCGCCCTTGTACGGGTCCCGATACGGGCCACACGCTCGCCGGGAATGCGGGGACCCACGGGAGAGGCCGCAGGCGAAACCGCGAGGCCGAGCCCCGCCCCCTCCCAGGCCCGAGAACTCCGGGAGGCGGGTCCCGCCAACAGGGGATTCCAGGGAGAGAGAAACGGTCTCTGGGCCGGCCTGGGCCTCACCATCGGGCGGCAGAGGCATCTCCATGGCTCCGGCCGCGGGGAACGTCCTCCGGCGCCTCACGATCGCCCACCAGCGCCGTCTGCGGAAGCCGGCCGGAAGTGGCGCGAGGGGGCCGTTTACGGCTGGTTATGCGAGCCGCTTCCGCCCGCCACTTACGGCCGTCGCCGGGAAACCCCGGAAGTGAGGGCAGGAGGCGGGCGGGAAGAAGCCGCACAAGGCCCGGCTTGCGGGAGGGGCTAGCGATGCGCATGCGCATGGGCTTCCCTCGCGCGTGCGCAGAGCTGCCTCTTGGCGCGCGACGCGCGGAACACCTGGAATGTCGCGGGCGGCAGTTGGCGGCGGCTGGAGCGTCCCCACAGGCTTCCGTCGTAGGCGAGGGGGTGGCCGGGCGCTGTCTCCGCGCGACCGGGGGTCTGGGGAGTTCCTTCCCGGGTCTCTGTTTTCTCCTTGCGGGTACAGCGAGGAGGCTACGAGGTGAGGTACGTGCGGGAGGTCCCCGGGCTGCAGCGCCGGTCACACCCTCCCCAGCCGGCCCGGAGGGGGAGCAGAACTGGGAGGCAACCGGCTTGGGGGCATTGGAACTGGGCATATTTAGATTCAAAAGCTCTTCCTCGGTTTCTTCCGCTCCACCGTTTGGGGCAAGGGAACTCCCACCCTCCCCCGATCTCAAACTGCTGGCCTAGGGGGCGCAGCGCTTTCCTAAAAGGTGCAGTTACGTTGCTTGTAAAGTGAAGCCAACACTTGTGAATTGTGGGGAAAGATAACTAAAATCAACAAACTTCTGCTGTGGACTTCTCCTGTAATCTGACTCTCTTGAAATGGCCATTGCCAACCCTAGGTTGGCTATACCTATTTTTTTTTCCTAGGGCAAATTGATGCAGACGTGTTTTAGATTCTTTTCTTTTTTATTTTTACAATATTTTTCATCAGACACTTATGGATTATCTACTGTATGCCAAGTACTGCTCTGGGGTGGGGATCGGCAAACTTTTTCTATTAAAGGGCTGAAGAACAAATATTTTAGACTTTTTTGGCTAGGAAGCAAGATTGAGGATCTTATTTAGTTATTTATGTAACCAGAGAGAAATGTCCATAAAATTTATATTGGTTAAATTAAAAATATAACTGAGTACAGTTTCTTAAATACAGGTTGCTGTGGTTTGAATGTTTATCCCTCATGATTGGGTTAATCCATTTATGGATTAATGGGTTAATGGATTATCATGGGAGTGGGGCTGGTGGCTCTGTAAGAAGAGGAAGAGATCTGAGCTAGCAGGCTCAGCCCCCTGCCCACGTGATTACCTTTGCCACCTTGGGACTGCAGAGTCCCCATCAACAAAAAGGCCCTCACTGGATGCAAACTCTTGACCTTGGACTACCCAGCCTCCAAAACTGCAAGAAATAAATTTCTGTTCTTTATAAATTACCCGGTCTCAGGTATTCTTTTATAGCAATGCAAAACAGACTAAGACATGGGTCTACTCATGAGAAGAGTGGAATTCTTTTTTTGGGATAACATGTCACTTAATTGGGGTTTCAAGTTCATCTTTCCTGTATGGATTGACTGCAGATATTCTCCTGTATAAACCATTCTTGGCTCAGAAACAGGTGGCTGGCTGGATGTGGCTTGTGGATGCCGTGATGACCAAGTCAGACCTAAGCTCCGCTCTCATGGAGCCCACTCTATGGGGGGAAGAGACCTATAAATCAGTAAACAAATATATCATCACAAAGTTGTCATTCAGGAAAAGAACAGGGCGCCTGGAGTATGGCAAGTGGAAGGGTGGAGCCCACACTGATAGGGCAGTCAGGAAAGGCTCTTGAGATGACGTTTACACTGAGATCTGAGCAAGGAGCCAGCTATGTGCCTACTCCAGGCGGAGGGGTAGTGCAGGATGCTGCTGTTCACATAACGGCCGGTCACCTGGATAGTGCGGGCACTCTTCATGCCAGTAACGGTCTACGTCAAGAAGTTTTAACTTGGGAATCTCCCATGGATGGACCTCAGAGAACCATGAATTAACGGAATTGATAGCAAGACTGTACATACATGCGTTTTCACGGGTTAAAGATACACAGCATCTATCAGATTCTTAACAGGATCTTCTAACCAAAACAGGCTAATGAATCTACTGTCATTTTGAAGGCTGCATGGGACTCCAAAGGTGGGATTTACCACAATTTATTGGAAGTGGGACTCTATGGAGGCGCTTGGGTTGCTTCCATTTTTAGGCCACTATATTGGAGTGTCTTAGTGTATGTAACTCTCGTGTGGACTTCAAAGGGTGTGCACATTCAGTGCTGATAATTGCGCGATTGCTGTCCAGAAAGATAGTCCACCCATGATGACTACTTTCAGACGTTCATTTCAGATTGCTGGAAATGCCGTTTATCTGAGACTGAAAATACAAGCCTCTCAGAGGCCTCTCCCAAACTCATTTCAAGGAGCCAAATCAGAATCCATTGGTGAAAAGAAAGCAGTAGAAAGAGCTGGTGGACATAGAGGCTGCTGCAGAGATGTTCTCCAAGAACCTGGAAACTACAAGACTTTTAAGTAAAACAAGTAAAATGTGCACCCCCTGAGTGAGATGAACCCGCCGAAGGGACCCAACAAAGAAGGAAAGTGGGAAGAAAGCCATACGCAGACATGCTTTGAAGAACTTACCCTAAATCAAAAGTGTGTGCTGGATTCCACACTGCAGACGCAAAGGGGTAAACTATTTAGACACCCAGCAGTAGGGATTAGGTTAATTTGTTAATTACGGTACGTCCCTCTAACAGAATGCTAGCATACCATGTACACAAACACAAAATCAAGGGAGAATATTTAATAACATGGGGAAATGTTTTTGGCATATTAGCTTTTCTTTTTCCCAAAGAGCTGGTTACAAAATAATATGCTGTTTTGAGAAAACAACATACATCCTCTCCAGAGGTAAGTGCTGTTGTCTGATTTCTTGTCTTTTTCCAGATAGAAGCTATGTATTCACATGAACGTTTATATATCTCACTCAACATTTTGGCAGTTGTTCCCTTTTGTATAGGCATCTACCTCAGCCTCTTTGACATGTGCATAGTATAGGTAATTTTTAAAAAATAACAATTTGTTTCATACTTAAGAAAAATATTGGCAATAAGTTATTTAAAATGTATGGGTGACTGAGGAAATCTAGAGCAGACTGACAGCCTCAGTAAAGCCAAAGTGTGTGTGACTGTCACTAGGTCTCCTGCAGTTACTGATCCACATGTGCTCAGCTAGCTGAAGCCACAACAGGAGGACGGGTTTGGGAACAGCGATGGTCCTGTCCTTCCCTGGGAAGAGAGGCTGAGTCTGGGGGACATTGGAGAGGGCCTCTGTCCTGGAGCAAGGAGCACTCCTTGGGCCTGATTGTCCACGTCACCAGCAAACTTGGGGTCACAAAGAGGTGCCTAGAGGGAAGGCAAACAATATTCTAGTATCTGGGAGAGGACATTACCTAAGGGGGAATCAGGACTGTGGTGTCTGGCTGGGGTGTCAAGAGGGCCATTTCTAAGCAGAACAGGACCTGACTGACCCCTTGCTAAACAGTGGTGATGCCGTCCCAGGGCAGAGCCTTGAGGCCCTGTTGCAATCGCAGAAGCAGACTGCAACGCCACGTGAGTGGTCCAGACAAGGGCTTTAGGGTCTGACCCGCACTGGGGCCCAGGCAAGTGCAGTGAGAGGCTGCACCTTTGGTCCCACTCACTCACGCTTAGGGGTACATGACAAAGGTGAGGGAGAAAACCCAGCTCACTCTGTCATGGCTGCTATGCAGGGCGAAAGGCCCTGGGCTTACAGACAGACACTCCTGGGTTCCAGGCCTGTTCCATGGGCCAAGCTTAACTTTCTCTGCTTCCATTGCCCACTCTGCAAACCTCTTAGGTTCTGACACCCTGGAATTGCAAATGCAAGTCAAATAAAACATTCCCATATGCCCCTCAAATCCCTGCTCTGTGCTTCCTTAGCATTGTTTACATACCTCCAACATGGTACCCTATGCTACTTAGCCACACATCTATAAATTAAACTGAGTGCTTTGAAGGTAGTAGCTTACATACCTGTTTCCTGTTACCTGGCACAAAGTAAGTGCTTAGTAAACTGCTGAACCAAAAAGATTATGAATTTAAAAGGACGTGGGCAATTGTTGTAGCAGAAACTCACAACCGTTCACCAGCTGTGCTGGAAAGAAATTTTGTTGGGAATGGTTTGAGTAATATGGGGGAAAATGGGCTTTGGAGTCCGATTTAAGCAGCTGTGTGATCCCAGACAAGTCACTGGGCCCTTGGCCCTTGTATTCCACCTGTAAAACAAGGCTAATAAACCTCATGAAAAGGTATTATGAGGATCGTGCATGAAAAGCTCACTACTGTGTCGGGCACGTGGTGGTGGGTACTCGAGTCTTAGCTGTCACTACTCAACGACAGTTCTGTAAGCACAGCTGCCACGGCATTCCTGGATTTCCTGTGTTATTCTGTTCAATAAAGAAATATCATTAACTGTTTAGCTCTGATTCTATTTTTATTCTGTTTCATAAACTAAATCGCATGTCCTAATTTTTGGCTCAGAAGAATATAAAAAAAGGTTGCAATACACCCGCACATGACAGCCAGGTCGCTTTGTTCTTTCTGCCTCTTCCACGTTCCGTTGCTGGGCACACTGAAGACAGGGTGACTCAAAACAAGTGCCTCACTGGCCAATCGGGACCCATCTTGAATCCCTGGAGACTGTTTTTTATTTCTGGTAAATGCCATCAATGACTACACACAGTGTCATTCTCACAGAACAGTGTAGCATTTAAGTCTTGAAAGCAGGTGACAATTGGAAAAAAAGTCTAACAATATTCTGGTCTTTTAATAATTTAATGTTCTGCGTCCCTCAGGCTGTTAGACCTTAAGGTATTCGGGTGTGGCTGTGCCCCGTAATAAACGGCCCGCGGTTGCGCGATGCAGACCAAATAGCAAAATTCACGAACTCCCAGATGCATCTTCATTTGAACAGATCTGGCTTGTCTCCTTTGTAACAGGGGTTGCATTTTCCCTACAACGAATGACTTAAAATAAGGTGCTTAAACAT